TGTCTCCTTTCTCTGACACACCAATGTCAGGTCTTGGAGTCTCTACTAATGAGATGATGATCTGAATCAGGTGTGTTTGACTAAGGAGACTCGCAAAACATGCAGTGTTGGGGTGCCTCCAGGACCAGGGTTGGGAACCACTGCCTTAGACGACGATCTCTCCTTATCACTGTTGAGAAAGGGCCATTATCCTATGTTTTTCTAGGGGGACTATCTGTGCAACTTGTCTTGCATTTTTATTGTATTCATTCTGTGCACATTACCTAGCAAATCACACTTAAAACAAGCTCCTGTAATGAGACTGACACAAAAAAACGACGACTTCATATGCCAGTTCTGTCATATACTCTAAGAATATCATTTAGGCGATAATTGCTGGTAATTACACTATAACAGTCTTTTTTTACAACGTCACACTAACCAGTAATATCCAAAGTGCTACTGTGAAACATTATATGGTGACAACTACCACTTCAGAACGTATAAGCAAATAGTAAATTACAATGAATGACACTTTCTCACACATGCCAAATGGTGGGAAAGGCCCAAATGGTTCCTACACCTCTTGCATCCAAGCACCCATCTAAGAACTTCTCAAGCTAACGCAGCAAATGTATTGTGGCATGTTTATATTTGAGTAGCACTAAATACATCTATTACTAAAGGTACAGAAATTTTTGTGCACACAGCTGCAATCTTTAATCCTGCCTGCAAATTCCTGTTATAATTATCTTGATTTTTTATTTTTGTCATGAAAACATGTGGGACAAATTATTCCTCAACTGTTTCATCACTTAAGTGGTAATGATTGTTAGAAAGGATAAAATAGGTTTTACTGTTACACTGATCTATTTAAGTCAAAGTTATTCATGCTTTTTTCTAATTTTTCAGTTACTATGATTGACATGTATGGCAGCATTGTCAAAGGAATAACTCAAATTCAACAAAAGCTTTTGACAAAACATTTAATTACAAATAAAATCATTCAAGTACACTTACATATATTTTTTAAATAGTCTGTGATTCCTAGGGAAAATGTCCCATCTGTCCAACAGGATCTGAGTGTGTTTTTCAGCTAAATTTTATATTGTGAGGGGGGTGAAATTAACTCTTATATGAATTTTAGAGTGTATTACAGGTTGAAAACAATTAAAGTTACAACAAGTTTTAACCTCGTATAAGAGTAAAGTTTCAACCTTCAGTCACTTTAGAATGAGGTGGACAAAAGCAGAGAGTGGGGCACAACTTAGTCAATGGAACAAATTTGTACCAAAACCAAATCAGTTTTGGTTGTTAATTTCACCCCCCTCACAATATAAAGCATTATTATGACGAATTCGGTTGAATTGGTAAATTAATTTAATAAAACTAACTGTGCAATTGAACTGTGGTTCCTTCATTGTGTGTTTTCTAGTCTAGTTTTGCAAGAAAATTGGAGGCAGAAAAGATCTTGCTTCCAGAGTCCAGACTGAAGTAATTTAGCAAAGCACAACCTACGCACGCTCTATATAGGTCACTCATAACACGACCAAATCATTCGACCGTTATTCGCAACGATAAGAATTATGATAACGTTGTGAATTGTTTTGCATTCCCAGCACTGTGTGAAAGGACATGGACCGGATCTCGCGATAAGTCCAACCTGCCATCTTGCCACGTTCCAGCGCTGGTAGAAAACAACGGGAAAGAACTGGGCGGTCTTACCTCGACGGTATCCACACGATTGAATAAGTCATCGGCCACTGCTCAGCGAATGGATGACATTTTCATTTGCCCCGCCCACAATGGCTTTGTCTGGACAGTATTGGTCGAATGTTCAGTCACTCAAAAGGGGGACGGGCTACCTGCTATGGGCCTCGGTGTATGAAAGCATAGGGATTTGATTTTTGCAGGACATCAGTACCAGAACTGAAACTGGAATTACAGTCAATTAATTTGTTAAAGAACAAGAGACGTCGAAGAACTTTCACTTGCAATGGCTAAGAAAAATGCAAAGGGACCAGTCAAAAAAGGTGTGTATGTTTTGTCGTCAAAAATACGTGCATTTCTGCGAAGGCCTGAAAGTTAATCGGACGGCAAGATTGATTTTTGTTTATCTAATTTAAACGCCATGTGAAGAAATGATAAACAAGTAAAATAATTACAATGACCCCAATGCACTGTGTCGGCTACAGTCGTGATATGTAAACTAGGCTAGTTGTGTTACACTGTAACCACAAACCGTTTTTGAATCGTTGCTACATTCTGAGCGAGTAAGAACTTTTCTGTCCAAAACAGGGGTGTATTAAACCCCCCTGAACGTGTCTATACACTTGGAAAATTGGACGAAATGGTTGCAGAACTTCTGCATGCTTTTAATCGTAACTTACTTGCACGAGCGCCACAGGGCCTAGTTTATCGTACTGTTTGTTAATTCCGACAGCAGCAAATGACCTACATTTTCAGATACATGTTTGCACATCGCTGGAGCCAGAGACTGGACATTTAAGAGCTCGCACTGGGGCAAGAGTTGCCCCAGTGCGAGCTCTTAAATGCCCACGTGTCAATATTGGGAGAGCGTGGGAGGGGTTACACGTGTCCTCTAGGGTCCCATGTCCCCACACACTCCGTAATTAAAAAGACATTCTGCCACACTGCAGGACCCCACTGCTGGTTAACAACGTCCTGGCGTTGGGTTTAGCTATCTAGCTATTATTATTGACTTTAGTAAGTGCGTGGTTATGTAAGAGTGGTAGACTGTTGAAAGTATATGAACCCTACAGTGAAATTTTAGTCACGGGGTATAGATTTATCATATGTGCTGCTGACTTTTAACTGTAAAAAGGTTCATATTAACGTAAAAACGGCGTAAAATGTTACCGTAAAAACCGTTAAATTGGTCAACTGTAAGTTACATCACCATATACGATTAAAATATGTATTTACATGCATGAGCATTCAGTTATATTATTTTTAATTTGTGTTTTGTGTGTTACCCTGTTTGTCAGGGCAACTGTGCGCTTTCTATTTATGTTTGTTAGCTACTGTTCATGGTAAAGCCTGTTTTGTTCATGGAAAAGCTTAATTCATCATGTGGCCTCCTTATTTTAAAACCTGAAATATTATGGTGGTTATCTCTATATTTTGAGCCAATAAAGCAGACCAAGCAGATTTGAATAAATGCAGTTATGAACTGTATACCTGAATACAGGAATCAAATGCCATCATATTTCTATGTTGTTGGTGTCTGTGAGGTGCCACTTGAACCACCATTTCTTATTTGCCATAAGCATTCCAATTCTCTCCAATAAACGTTACATTTTATTGTGTTTATCCATTATGGAACACTTTTCCTGTAATGATGATAATCTAGAGCCACACCCATTTAAATATCTACTGACGGTTAACAGTTACAAAACCACTATCCTTAGATTGATGCATTTATAATGCATTGCTTTGTAAAGTGAACTCAGCTGTTCATAAAGTGGTGCAATGCCCTCTTTTATCAAATGTCAAAATCATTGCTTTCAGGGAACATTTCAGCTGCACAGAATAACTTGCTGAGTGCCACAGAAATGGTAAAGAAATGACAGCCTGTCATGACGTGCTTGCATTTTGTGTTTTTTCTCAAGGGTTTTTTCTCATTGATTCCACTGTTCTGTTCAAATAACCTTGCATGTTTGTTTTTCCAAGGGCATTTAATCCAATGCAATTCTCTGACATATGTGGTTGTGTAGAATATATTTTATTTTGACTTTGGTAAATGCAGTGTGCATCTCACAATATTAAATGTACTGTTTCATGCATAGAGTGAAGAATGCATTTGTGTGTGTATAACAAGCAACACTATTGGCATTCATAAGAAAATCTGGACTAAATAATGTTTACGTATGCAACATTTGAACTCCTGTTGTGACATCAGAAAACCCACTGGACTTTTAAACCAGTGTATGATCTATTGTTCTACAGCAGTGTTAGCTTGCTGGTCATTCAAGATTCCAGTCGGGGGTGTATATGCTGATAAGATCACATAAGGGGTTAATGTCCAGGGTTTATTCCTCTGACCAGACAGGAACTGCTTGCTTTACACAGTGGGGTGTGTAGGTACGACTGAAGAAGAGAGGGTAATTCAAGGCACACATTCCACTACAATGTTATGCAAGCTAGACGATGAACATTGTGTACCACAAAGGCATAGTCAAAGCAACGACAAAAGCAGTGCATGAGTTACAAAAAGAGTTTAAGCACTGTTTTTCATAGCAGGTATAAATGGGGGAGGGGAAGACATTGATTAAGTCATAATGGCAGCCCTTTGACTATGTGTAGATTTAGAGACGAGTTAAGTATGTGTGTCTAGAGGGTGTGCCTTGTGTCCAAACTTTGCATGCAGCTTTGATATTGCTAAAAGATTCAAATCCACATTCCACATCAATGCAATGTTTTAAATATTAAAAGTCAAAGATTTGGGGCTTTGGTTTGCATTAAATGTATGTATATATGTATATGTAAGAAGTTAATACTTAAAAAAAAATTTTTTTTTAGCAAATATGCTGATCAAAGTATTAATCAACATAACTGTTTTCATAATTGACAATATAAGAAATGTTTCCTGAGCACCAAATCAACATATTTAGCGGAGTAAATAAAACTGAGCTTTTCCATCACAGGAATACATTTATTTTTAAAATATATTAAAACAGAAACCAGTTATTTTAAACTGTAATGATATTTCACAATATAACTGTTTTGACTATATTTTGATCAAATAAATGCAGCACAAGAGATATGAGAGATCTTTTGAGTAAGTGATATTCTTGATGAGGATAGAGGGTTACGAAAGTACATCATGGTCGTTTTACTTTGCTGATAATGTTAGTCTGATGCAGGTTTTTCTGTTTTAGCTATATGGCTAGTTTGCAGAAGCCACCACTAACATGTTTATTATTTCATCAAGAAACTCGGGAGACCGGTCCTTGTATGGAAAATAAATAGCTCTGTGGCAGGAGAGTCACTTGCCAGGATTTAAATGCTCCTCTGCCTGGAGGCTGGAAAACGCCTTCCAAAGTTTGATTTGCAGGTCATTAAAATGCATGTATGTAGTGAAGCAGTGTATCCTCCATTGTGTGCTACTCTTTTGTTAAGTATAGTAATTTGGAAGGCCATTCAGCCTTTTCAGCTTTCATATGTGACTAAGAACAGCAGGATGGAGTGGGATTTGCCTCTACCCTTTCGTATGGGTGCTTGAGATTTTCTGGCTTTCAAGCGGACAGTTCTAAAAATAATCCATTTGCTGGTCGAGTTCCATATTAAGTTCCGGCTCAATTCACAAGGAACAAAAAGGCAGGAGACCTGCTGTTGTTACAGGGGTTTGGGGTAGGATTGGGGTGAAAGACGCTCTCTTCTTCCCCACGTTGCTTGGAGGAATGGGGGAGCCGAATGCAGAGGTCAAGGTGGTGAACGAAGAAACCGGTGTAGTATTTTTATAATTTGGAATATCGTTTTATGACGAGAGATGACATGGGGTGTGAGAGAGAGCCTTAACATTTGAAAATGAATGTAATCTTATTTAATGCTTTATTTTTATGGTGCATTTGTGTTTTGTGTATATGAGCAGCAACAATTTAATGTTTTTTTTTTGGGGGGGGGAAGGGGGAGATGGCTTAGGTACCTTAAAAATGTATTGTTATAAAGTTTTAATGTGCAGTCAGTTTATATATGCACCTGTGCAAACTACAAAAAGATAATTTATTTTGTCGTAACACTTTAGTGTTGTTATTGCTCTCTGTATATCTGTTACTAACGTTTGTAGCATGCGTGTGCGCATGAACAAATGTGTGGTTTGACCTAGCAGAACGTAGCGGACAAAACACCTGTTCATTCTTCCTACTAGAGCTCTGAATGCAGATGTATTTATACCGCAGTTCCATGAGGAGTGTCAACAAGCCTCAGAATAACTGCACTTTTTTTTAGACTTTTGTCGCCTTGTGATTGCTATAGATGTGATTTCATGTGGAATATTTAAACATCTCACAGGGAATCTTTCATCAGAACCGGACATCTATTGGATTTTATACAGCATTTGAATGTAGAAAGAATTGATTGGTCTCCAGTATTTTTTCAGCTTCAAAGCTAATGTTACATAGTCTATTAACTAGTGGCCTTGAGTGAATACTTGTGTGTGCCGTAATACTAAAGGACTAATCTCACTTTCAAAGTCATGGTTTAATTTTGAGCATGCATTCTTCGTTCACATGAGGGTTTTGCTGTGCTGCATTGATTTGATTTTGTTAAATGAAAATGTTTTATATTCATAAACATTTTTTTTCAATTTCTTCCTGATATTGTATAATCTTATTCTTTTATACTTCAGAGGCCAAGCCACAGCAGGCACATAAAAATGGAAAGAAGGCAGAGGTTGGAGGAGGAACCTCGTTTTTCACCTGGTTCATGGTTTTGGCTCTCTTGGGCGTCTGGACCTCTGTAGCTGTGGTGTATTTTGACCTTGTTGACTATCAAGGTGTAATTGGTGAGTCTTTAGTTTCTATTATTCAGAGTTTTTTTTATAAATGGCTGTAGTTTTAAAAATACTTTTGACATAAATGTTATATGTAATTTTTTAATTTGCATGCAGCCAAAGCGAAGGACTTGCGCTATAATCTTTCAGAGGTATTACAAGGTATGAAATCTGAACCAGTGAATAGAATCACTACCATGAACCTCTCATCTTCAGTTACAATGCAGGGAAGTGAATTTGATTGTTAGTTCTGTTTTAGTGTAATTTTTCATACTTTAATATAAACGCACACTACATTTATATAAAAGTATTCTAAAAGTTTGGGGTCAGTGAGATTTTGTTTTGAAAGAAAGAAATTGTATTCCGCAAAGATGCATTAACTTGATCAAAAGGCATTTATAGATTTCTGAAGGATCACGTGACACTGAAGACTGGAGTAATGATGCTAAAAATTCTGCTTTGCTATTGCAGTAATAAATTACATTAAATTAGAAACCAGTCATTTTACATTGTAGTAATAATAACAGTTCACAGTTGTACTGTTTTTACTGTATTTATTTATTTTTTAAATGCAGCCTCGGTGTGCATAAGACACTTCTTTCAAAAACTTAAAAAAACTGACACCAAAACTTTTGGACTGTAGTGTATTTTCTAATAATTTTAATTTGATAAAATGTTAATCTAATGATGTTTGTTAATGACTTCTTGAGGAAAGTTGTTATAACGTGTTACCATGCAGGTTTACTTGCTACAGAACTATATCAAATAGTACAAGGTTTCTTTAAGACGTGTCCTTAATCTTATTTGAAATAAGACAAATATGAGCAATTTCACAGCACTATTTGTAGGACCTTTAGTTTCAAATATGAATTATTCACAACCCATGTCAAATGACTAAATGAGATTCACTTTACTTTACTAGGTAAACTCGTGTCCTATGATGCTGATGGTGATGGAGACTTTGATGTGGAAGATGCTAAAGTACTACTAGGCAAGTGAAGTGATTTCCAATGACATTTTCTACCAGATGATATTTTGCATGACTGACTTTGGTTCACTTTTGTGCAGTTTTGAATTAAATCCGACAGATGCACGTGCATGGTACTTTCATCATTTTGTTCAAACAACATACCATTTTGGAGAAGAAGTGATGAGAGGTTATTGCCTTATTGCATGAGTTTGTAAATTAGACCAACTTGCCAGTATTACATTTAAGGCAAAGTCACATGGTAAGGAGAGAAAATAAAGAGATTTATTTTCTCATTTAGCATGCAGTTTAACTGATTTCACAACAAACAGCCCCATTAGTCCTTCCCATGCATGCCCCATTTCTCCTTTACTTCATCTTATGCTTTTAATAGCATTTTTACCCTCTTTTTTATAGCACTGAATCCTTATCTACTAAACCGTGCAAACCAACACCACCTAGTCCTTCCCATGCATGCCCCATTTCTCCTTTACTTCATCTTATGCTTTTAATAGCATCTTTACCCTCTTTTTTTATAGCACTGAATCCTTATCTACTAAACCTTGCAAACCAACACCACCCTCTCTCTATTTTCTTGCTCTCCCACTGTTCTTTCTTTCCCTCTCTTTCTCTTTTTCCTTATTCTCCCGTTTGCGTAGGGCTGACCAAAGATGGCAGCAAAGAAAACTCAGACTCCCTTGAGGAAGTCCTCGATATTTTAGCGGAAGAGGGCACTGATTGGTTTCAAGGTTTCTTCACCTTCCTTTATGACATTGTGAGTCCTTTTGAAACGCTAGAGGATGAAGAAACCGAGGCAGCAGCGGAGGATGTTGCTGGCGCGTCACAGACTGAAGGGGTTCAGGGCCAAAAGACATGCGTTATTTTAGGCCTTCAAAATCAATAGTCGTGTTTTCTACCGCATTTGTGACAGATGCACTTTATTAGTGGAGGACTTGCTCCTTTGACGACTTGATTCTGTTCCTAACACTTGAAGAAATATTTTGTTGGGAAGATCGCCAACAGTCTCTTTGGGACCTGTGAACTCTTGAGAAGATGATGTCATTATGAACATTTACATATTTGTAAATATTGAACTTGTGTAGTTTATGCTTCATTGCAGCTCTTTGGCAACGGCTGTTTCCAGCTACTAATACTCTATTTACCTTTTTGCATATGACCTTAGTGTGCTGTAAGTTGAACATATCACCTTTGCTGCATGCCTAAGTTCCCTTATATCATGAACAACAGTATGTATTTCTATTTGAGTCTTGCAATTTAACACTGTACATGTGACATCTTGTTTATAATCTGATTATCATTATCATTTCTCTCTGTCTTTAGGATCTGAATAGTTTATTTTGAGCCGTTTAATATTACAATAATTGCATTTTGGGGTGATTTGCATCCTCAGCAACTCAGCGGAGATGGATCTTTCTGTGTTTTATATTTCCTTTAAACTTTTTTTTTACTGCTCAGTACAGAATAGGCAGTTTTATATGACATTGTCAGTTGTTTTTGTTTAGTCTTTGTCATGTGAGTTGCCTTTGCTCTCCTCCATCAGAGATTTAGAGAATAATGATAGCTTAGATCTACAGTATGAATATATCCCACCCCTCTTGCAGTATTACCTCAGTACAAATTTCCTACCTGAATTTTGTTAACTATGGTGTAAATGGATGTGTAGCTGATTTAAAGGGATAGTTCACTCAAAAATGAAAATTCTGTCATTAATTACTCACCCTCATGTCGTTCCAAACCCTAAGACCTTTGTTCATCTTCAGAATACAAATTAAGATATTTTCGCAAAGAAAATAAAAATAACGACTTAATTCAACAATTCTTCTCCGCCTTATCCCATCTGCAGCTGCGTGCCACCATTGTAAAGTCATAATTTTTTGTTTTCTTTGCGCACAAAGAGTATTCTCGTAGCTTCGTAAAATTACGGTTGAACCACTGATGTCACATGGACTATTTTACAGTTGTCCTTGCTATGTTTCTGGACCTGGGAACATTGAAGTTGTGGTGCTGTCTACGGAGGATCAGAAAGCTCTCAGATTTCATAAAAAATATCTTAATTTGTGTTGCAAAGATGAACAAAGGTCTTATGGGTTTGGAACGACATGAGGGTGAGTAATGTATGTGAGTAATAAATTACAGAATTTTCATTTTTGGGTGAACTATCCCTTTAATAAATGGGTGTCACTGTCAATTCAGGAACTTCATCAGTTCATCAGCCAGGAATTAGTTCAGTGGCGTGTGTAGGAAACGTCTCCTGAACCCCAGAGTTCTGTAACCGTCAACAATCAGTTCCTACCTGCCAATCTAAAGCACCTGAAATGGTGTGCCTGATAAGTAATACAGTGTTTATATGGCTCCTGTAATACTAGGAGGGAATTGAGAGGGCTATGAATGTGAATGTTAAATGTTTTGTATGCAAAAAGTACCGTATGCAGGAATTATTTACAAAATGGCTGCTTTTGTGTCTGGAAGTGTAGAATTAGGAATTTAGCTTAGATTGAAAAATTAATTTTTTCACTTTAATACCACATATATCACAATTATGCTTTCAAATATTTCAAGTACAGTTTAAGTGTTATTTTGGTAAATTAACAATTCAGATCTTTTGGTTTAATTATTTTGCAGTTGTTGCCATATGTTAAAGTTGTTGGTTTGGCTTTTTTGTTGTTAATAAGATTGCTTCTCATATGTTGTACAAAAATACACTGCTTTCAGATAGTGATTTTGTAACTTTTTTTTGTTTTGTTTTTTTGTTCAAAATCATTTTTACAGAGATTTTCTATCAGAATTGTTAGACATCATGCATTATGTGTTTTACAGAGCATTGCGCATGACTACTCAATCAATAGAATCAGACCAGATATGAGTGAATGGGCTGTATACTCTCTGACATCATTAGTGTCAAAGAAATGTATGAAGAAGACCTCAAAGGCAGGACTTAGGCCTACATTGAACAACTGTTTTAAGTAGCAGTCACTGACTTTATTTGTCTGTCTCATTTAAATTAGATGAAAAGAAAGAGGTTTCCAGGAGAAAAGGAGGTATTTTGCACACTTGGTCTGAGTGCATGCAGCAGACTAGCCTCTAGTGTGGTTTGGGATCTTGGAAGGCGTTTACTTGATCAACTTGTTTCTGTTTGCATGACTGAGCTGACATGAGATATTTTAAGCTACATATTATTTTTGTGTTTAACCAAGGAGTGTTTAACAATACCACCTTTTTAGTTGGCATTTATGAGTTTGCATGGACAATGATGACTTGACAAGGAACTTACATGCACATGTAAGCCTTGTGTATACTTTTTTCCAGGCTATTTGCAAATAATATTGGGGAACTGTGGACTTGTTATAAACATCCTAAATACATAATCTTCTAATATAGTGTGTACAGTAGTGATTCTCAACCTGGGAGCCAGGGCTGTCTAGGGAGCCATTCCAAACTTCCACAGCCACAGGATGATTTGAATTATTTAAATTTAGTTTTTTCTTCGTTTTTTCCATAAGCCAAGAATTTATTGAAGCATACAGTACAATCACATGAATTTTGGTCAATTCATTTAATATATCACGATTTACAGTTTCTGTTAAAACATTTTTTTAAATGAGCAGCTTTGTCATAATTACAGCAGAAATACTTGAAATATTTAACCTATATGGTGGGCCTTCGAATATTCTGTAGGACAGCTGGGGGCCGTCAAGTTAAGTAAGTTGAGAACCACTGGTGTGGAGGATATCACAAACATACTAATGAGGGCGTTCTGATGTGAAATGATTTGCATCATTACAACTAATTGCCTTGTGGCTTGAGGTGTGTGTAGTGATAAGATTTAGTTACCATGATTACATCATCAAACAAAGTTTCTCCCCAGAGCTTTCCCACACCAAAGACGTTGGGTTGAAGCTAAGGGAAGCTCTGAAACAGCAGCTCACCATCATCCACGAGAGAGTGGAGGCTAGGAAGATAGCTAAATTGGCTCTGGCGGAAGTGAGGAACATCCTAGCCAAAGAGGAGGAAGAGAGGACCTTGAACCATATCAGGGAGGAGTCGGAAGCCAAGGCCTGGGAGAGAGCTGAGGCTCGGCTGAAAGAGGAGGGGGAGAGAATAGAGAAGGAGGATGTGGAAAAGGCCATGGCAAGAATTAGAAAGGAGAAGGAGGAAAGGGAGAAAATGGCAGAAGTTGAAGAAGCAAAGAAGACTAAGAAGGTGGAAAAGGATGAGGTGAAGGAAAAGCCAGAGGCTGAAATGAAATCTCATGAGAAACCCGTTGTTGATGATGATGCTAAAAAAGTTGAGAAAAATGGAAAAGGCAAAGAATCAAAGAAGGCTGCAGCTAAAAAGAAACCGTAAGGCAGCAAATCAGCTACTGTTAGATCTTTTTGTCTTTTGTGTAATTTGTTAACATCTGGCTGAATTTGATCTCAGGCCATTGTGAGTCTCCAGAGACCACCCCTTGTAGACTGAAGGCAAGACCTTTTGTCTCTATATATGAGAGATAATCAGTGATGTTAATCAGAACATTGAGATTAGTAGAAGCAAAAGCAGAACAAGGGTGCTATATGCCGATCGTCATGTGGAAGTTCTTTTATTTCTCTTAAAATATGTCTGTTTTGTTTGAGGGTAGGATTTTGGTTTACTCTTACAAAATACTAGCTATAGTGTGAGATTTCAACATTGATGTTCCTCTGATTTTGTTTATTTTATAATAAATACAACAGGTAGCTATACTTTATTAAGAGAGAACGTTCTTGTGTTATCAATAAACTATATGATTCCCCTGATTTGTTTTATCAGTGCCTTGAGTGTTTTTCTTTTCAATGTTGATTAATACAAGAAAAACAAGCAGTTGTATTAAAACTGGACAAGAATATGTGTCTGTTCACTAATAATATCTATAAACTTTTCCTTTTACCTCTCCTCTGTTTTCCTATTGGTCTGTTTCAAACCTCAAACACATACTTTTGTGCCTGTAAAACAAAGGACTGAAAAAGCTCTAGTGCAAAAGTAAACCAAATGTCATAAGGTTATGGAAATCCTTTTGAAAGTGTAATGCTCTTCATATAGAGGGCTTGTTTCATGTGACTGTATTCTACGCTTGCCTCATGTATGCACATCCACATGTAAAATCCTCAGGGCTGAAAGATAAATCCACCATTGAGACCAGTGAATCATTTGAGGGAACCCTTGCTGAACCTGTGGAAGAAGGTAAAGTAGAATCCTACACGGGAGCTTTATGCAATAAATAAGGGTGCAGTGAGAATTTGTTGATGCATAATATCTTTGTAGGTCAATAAAATAAGATGCAGGGTTTTATAACACAAATAGACATTTAATGTGATATGTAAGTTAGGAAAGTAAATGTACAAGTTACTGCCATTGTTACAAGATGAAATTGCCTGACCCTGAAAAAAATATATATATATTTTTTAATTTGTCATCAAACCTATATTTTTAGTACATTTTAAAAGTATATGCAAAAAATAAGATTAATATAAGCATTAAACATTTGTTTGATTGCAGGGGAGTTGGCCTTATCTAGTGGATCATTAAATGTTAACAGTGTTCATAAGGACGGTGTTCTGTGTGTATATGTACCACCTGTTTGCTATGTAGAAATTATTCTGATGGACACTTTTATAACTGAAATGCCTAATTAGAAAGGAGAAGGAGGAAAGGGAGAAAATGGCAGAAGTTGAAGAAGCAAAGAAGACTAAGAAGGTGGAAAAGGATGAGGTGAAGGAAAAGCCAGAGGCTGAAATGAAATCTCATGAGAAACCCGTTGTTGATGATGATGCTAAAAAAGTTGAGAAAAATGGAAAAGGCAAAGAATCAAAGAAGGCTGCAGCTAAAAAGAAACCGTAAGGCAGCAAATCAGCTACTGTTAGATCTTTTTGTCTTTTGTGTAATTTGTTAACATCTGGCTGAATTTGATCTCAGGCCATTGTGAGTCTCCAGAGACCACCCCTTGTAGACTGAAGGCAAGACCTTTTGTCTCTATATATGAGAGATAATCAGTGATGTTAATCAGAACATTGAGATTAGTAGAAGCAAAAGCAGAACAAGGGTGCTATATGCCGATCGTCATGTGGAAGTTCTTTTATTTCTCTTAAAATATGTCTGTTTTGTTTGAGGGTAGGATTTTGGTTTACTCTTACAAAATACTAGCTATAGTGTGAGATTTCAACATTGATGTTCCTCTGATTTTGTTTATTTTATAATAAATACAACAGGTAGCTATACTTTATTAAGAGAGAACGTTCTTGTGTTATCAATAAACTATATGATTCCCCTGATTTGTTTTATCAGTGCCTTGAGTGTTTTTCTTTTCAATGTTGATTAATACAAGAAAAACAAGCAGTTGTATTAAAACTGGACAAGAATATGTGTCTGTTCACTAATAATATCTATAAACTTTTCCTTTTACCTCTCCTCTGTTTTCCTATTGGTCTGTTTCAAATCTCAAACACATACTTTTGTGCCTGTAAAACAAAGGACTGAAAAAGCTCTAGTGCAAAAGTAAACCAAATGTCATAAGGTTATGGAAATCCTTTTGAAAGTGTAATGCTCTTCATATAGAGGGCTTGTTTCATGTGACTGTATACTACGCTTGCCTCATGTATGCACATCCACATGTAAAATCCTCAGGGCTGAAAGATAAATCCACCATTGAGACCAGTGAATCATTTGAGGGAACCCTTGCTGAACCTGTGGAAGAAGGTAAAGTAGAATCCTACACGGGAGCTTTATGCAATAAATAAGGGTGCAGTGAGAATTTGTTGATGCATAACAATATCTTTGTAGGTCAATAAAATAAGATGCAGGGTTTTATAACACAAATAGACATTTAATGTGATATGTAAGTTAGGAAAGTAAATGTACAAGTTACTGCCATTGTTACAAGATGAAATTGCCTGACCCTGAAAAAAATATATATATATTTTTTAATTTGTCATCAAACCTATATTTTTAGTACATTTTAAAAGTATATGCAAAAAATAAGATTAATATAAGCATTAAACATTTGTTTGATTGCAGGGGAGTTGGCCTTATCTAGTGGATCATTAAATGTTAACAGTGTTCATAAGGACGGTGTTCTGTGTGTATATGTACCACCTGTTTGCTATGTAGAAATTATTCTGATGGACACTTTTATAACTGAAATGCCTGCCAGTGATGAACGAGTCTTACCACATACCACAAAAGTTCTTGCATAACATGACATGAGAGTAATCGCATTGACCTGTTACAGAAGGCTTGTATAATTGAACTTCAAATCTTAGTAAAGCATTTTTTTACAAGCGTGTTTTAGGACTGATAAATAAAGGCTTTCAATCCAGAAAAACAGACGGTTTTCTTTCAAGCTAAGTTTATTAGTTTTGTTTCTTAATCAGCTCCTGAAACTATCGTGGAGGAAGAAATCCAGGCCACTAAAGTTGAAGAAGCAGCTCAGCCACCACCGGGTATGGCTTTTATTATGTCCTTTGAAATTACAATGTGCAATTGTTGCTATTTGTTTACTCTCACATATTGTGTTGTGTAGCTGTATACATGTATGTATATACTACAAAAGGATCCAGTATAACTCAACCTAACCGCTGAATTGGCGCATTCACAAAGTTCTACACATCACATATATTGGCACCTACCAATAAGAGCATAGTACAATCTATTGAATATATTTACTATAATAGTATTTTCTGAAATTACAATGTGCAATTGTTGCTATTTGTTTACTCTCACATATTGTGTTGTGTAGCTGTATACATGTATGTATGTATGTATGTATGTACTACAAAAGGATCCAGTATAACTCAACCTAACCGCTGAATTGGGGCATTCACAAAGTTCTACACATCACATATATTGGCACCTACCAATAAGAGCATAGTACAATCTATTGAATATATTTACTATAATAGTATTTTTCCTTGCAGAACCAGAGGCTGTGGAAGAGGAGCCTGTTCCTGTGGAAGAAGAACCTCTGGAAGTAGACGAAGAGCCCACTGCTGTAGAAGATGAAGTAGCTGAGGAGGAACCAGAGGTTGAAGAGGAGCAAGAAGTTCCAGAGGAAGAACCAGAAGTTGTGGAGGAAGAGCCTGAGCTTACAGAGACTGTTCCAGTTGAGGAAGAGGCTTTTGAGGAGGCAGTGGAAGAGCCTGCAAAAGAGGAAGAGGTCATACCAGTTGAAGAACCGATTGAGGAAGCTGCTCAAGCGGAAGAAGCAGTAGGGGAGGCTGCACCAGTAGAAGAAGCGGTTGAGGACGTGTTGGAGGAAGAGGCTGCATCCGTAGAAGAAGTAATAGTAGAAGATACACCACTGGAAGAGGCAGTAGAAGAAGAGGTTGCACAGGTGGAAGAAGCAGTGGAGGTAGTGTTGGAGGAAGAGGCAGCATCAGTGGAAGAGACCATAGAAGAAGTAGTAGAAGAGGATGCACCAGTGGAAGAAACAGTAGATGAAGCTGCACCAGTAGAAGCAGCTGTGGAGGAGGTTGTACCAGTAGAAGAAGCAGTTGAGGAGCATGAACCAGTAGAAGAAGTAGAGGAGCTTGTACCAGTAGAAGAAGTAGTAGAGGAGCTTGTACCAGTAGAAGAAGAAGTAGAGGAACCTGAACAAGTGGAGGAACCTGAAGCAACAGAACCAGTGGAAGATGTAGAAACACCCGAAGAGACAGTTGAGGAATCAGTCTCTGTAGAAGAAGCTGGGACAGAAGAGGAAGTTATAGAGGAAACAGATGAGCCATTTCGGGAAGATGAGGAAGAACAAGACTCCACATCGGAGGAAACCGAGCTAACCAGTGGAAGAAACAGTAGATGAAGCTGCACCAGTAGAAGCAGCTGTGGAGGAGCATGAACCAGTAGAAGAAGTAGAGGAGCTTGTACCAGTAGAAGAAGAAGTAGAGGAGCTTGTACCAGTAGAAGAAGAAGTAGAGGAACCTGAACAAGTGGAGGAACCTGAAGCAACAGAACCAGTGGAAGATGTAGAAACACCCGAAGAGATAGTTGAGGAATCAGTCTCTGTAGAAGAAGCTGGAACAGAAGAGGAAGTTATAGAGGAAACAGATGAGCCATTTCGGGAAGATGAGGAAGAACAAGACTCCACATCGGAGGAAACAGAGCTTGAGGCAGAGAATATGGAAGAAGAGGAGGGTATGTTTTTTTTTTTTTCTTTTCCTTTTGCAGGTTCACTCGCAGATGGTTATTATATAGCAGCAAGAAATAATACCCAAAATATCTTATTTGTTAAAATAGTAGAGTAAGTACAATAATGTGGATGCCAACATTATCTGATAATATCAGATACTACACAGATAACAGAGGAAGTTATGCTTGCTTTGTTGTGAAATGTGTCTGTCTTGTTACAGAGGATGCAGCTGCTGAGGAAGAGCAGCCTGAGGAGGACGTAGCAGGTTGGTAATTCAATTTTATGGTTATATAAAAGATATAAAGAATGGGATGATTTCCTGATCTGTACAGTGTTGAGTCATACATTCTATGCTCAATGTCTGTTTTGGCTCAATGTCTGTTATCTTTGTCTTTATTAACTTGTACATTTGTTTATTCATTTAACAGAGGAAATTAACCAAACAGAAGAACAAATTGAAGTAGAGCCCACAGGTAATCAAATTTTGTCCATTGAGATTCATTTTCATCATGGTTGAAATTTTGATCTCGTTAAGGATGTTTTTCTCATGCAGTTCACTTCTCCTCTCTTTACTTAGTTTTGCATTGTATTGTTTCCATTTATCTATGTATCTATATATATTTTTAGTGTTACTGCTTTATTGTCTTATCTTTTATTAATGATTTGGTTATATTTCCATGTCTTTTTATTTTCTGTATGTAAATCTTTACATATAATTATGTACGTAAAGATGTTAAAATTGCGTGTTCAAGAAAGTCATTTTAAGGCAAGTTAGTTCTCTCAGTAGCCATATTCATAACCAAACCAAAATCTGACAACAATATGGTACCATAAATGGTGCTTCTTAACCTTAAATGTATATAAAAAAATCAGTCTAATCCAGTTAATGCACAAGAGTAAACAAGCATTCACATATGTACGAGTGGACTGTCTCTGCCTTATACAGTATCTGCTTCAACTGACAACAAAACATCATACACCTGGTTAAGTGTCTTTAATGGGGATAATTTTGTGTTTTACAGAAACATAAAACATTAGGCAGTATGTAAGATACGGAGAGGACCAGCACCACATGGCATTCCACTGGAAGTGTGCAGCTGCCAATTCCCACCATGGAGTTAAAAAAAAGAGAACGCTACTATTTCCCTTTTCATTTTCTTTCTTTTTTTTTGACATTCAAGCCTGTTTGTTAATTGATAATGCAGTCTCTTTGTGTACAAGTACACAATTATTTGAATGTTTTGTCAACTTTTGTTTGGTGAAACAGAGCTTGAGGCAGAGAATATGGAAGAAGAGGAGGGTATGTTTTTTTTTTTTTTCTTTTCTTTTTTTGCAGGTTCACTCGCAGATGGTTATTATATAGCAGCAAGAAATAATACCCAAAATATCTTATTTGTTAAAATAGTAGAGTAAGTACAATAATGTGGATGCCAACATTATCTGATAATATCAGATACTACACAGATAACAGAGGAAGTTATGCTTGCTTTGTTGTGAAATGTGTCTGTCTTGTTACAGAGGATGCAGCTGCTGAGGAAGAGCAGCCTGAGGAGGACGTAGCAGGTTGGTAATTCAATTTTATGGTTATATAAAAGATATAAAGAATGGGATGATTTCCTGATCTGTACAGTGTTGAGTCATACATTCTATGCTCAATGTCTGTTTTGGCTCAATGTCTGTTATCTTTGTCTTTATTAACTTGTACATTTGTTTATTCATTTAACAGAGGAAATTAACCAAACAGAAGAACAAATTGAAGTAGAGCCCACAGGTAATCAAATTTTGTCCATTGAGATTCATTTTCATCATGGTTGAAATTTTGATCTCGTTAAGGATGTTTTTCTCATGCAGTTCACTTCTCCTCTCTTTACTTAGTTTTGCATTGTATTGTTTCCATTTATCTATGTATCTATATATATTTTTAGTGTTACTGCTTTATTGTCTTATCTTTTATTAATGATTTGGTTATATTTCCATGTCTTTTTATTTTCTGTATGTAAATCTTTACATATAATTATGTACGTAAAGATGTTAAAATTGCGTGTTCAAGAAAGTCATTTTAAGGCAAGTTAGTTCTCTCAGTAGCCATATTCATAACCAAACCAAAATCTGACAACAATATGGTACCATAAATGGTGCTTCTTAACCTTAAATGTATATAAAAAAAATCAGTCTAATCCAGTTAATGCACAAGAGTAAACAAGCATTCACATATGGTCGAGTGGACTGTCTCTGCCTTATACAGTATCTGCTTCAACTGACAACAAAACATCATACACCTGGTTAAGTGTCTTTAATGGGGATAATTTTGTGTTTTACAGAAACATAAAACATTAGGCAGTATGTAAGATACGGAGAGGACCAGCACCACATGGCATTCCACTGGAAGTGTGCAGCTGCCAATTCCCACCATGGAGTTAAAAAAAAGAGAACGCTACTATTTCCCTTTTCATTTTCTTTCTTTTTTTTTGACATTCAAGCCTGTTTGTTAATTGATAATGCAGTCTCTTTGTGTACAAGTACACAATTATTTGAATGTTTTGTCAACTTTTGTTTGGTGGTTTGACCCTTTTTCCTTTTCGAATCCCTTTTTTGTAATTACAGACAAAGCTTTTTTCCTATCCTCTAACATAGATGTGAAGTAGCCTTTTTTTGAATGATCATGGATGATAGTTTGGTTGTAGTTTCCTATCCTGTGTGTACAAACACCTTCATGTTGCTTTGTAGCTCAGAGATCTTCACATTCTACTCGGCTCTGAATTCATCAGTGTTTCTCTCGTCATCAAATCTGACGTTTTGCTTTAATGTGAAGGTACTATGCAAAGCTGCACTGATCTTTCGCTATTTTTACCCTTAGGTTTTGTACTACCAATATGTATTGAGTCTACATTTCCAATGTTGCATATCAAGGACAAGTTTATGCTGGCAGGTTAACCAAGATAATTGCTGTGTGATCTGTGTATGGAGCGAATGGGCGTGCATGTGCATGTATGTGTGTGTCTATTTGAAAATTCTTGTTTAACTATGCGAAACAATAATTTGAGCCATCTCACTAGTATGTTTTCATGGTGTTTTCTTATGTGTGTTCTAGCGTAAAGTCAACGTATTAGTACCTCTGATGATATTTTCCTCAATACTGTAGCTGATATGCTAAGAGCTCAGAGAACTGTTTTTTGCATTTCTTCACATTTTTAAACTCTGATGCATAGCATTGCCCCATCCCATTTTTTATTTACACTTTTACCTTTTTCAGTAAGTCCTGTTTCATAGGCTCATGATTTAACAAGCTCTGTTTCAGGTAGACACTCCAGCTGCTGTGCAGTATGCGTATGACAAACAGTGTTGTTTAATGGGTGTCTTATGTAATAACTGGTGAAGGATGCCCACATAAATATGGAATAACCAACTTTACACCATGTTTAGTTTTTATAGCAGGGTAAAGATCTTACCTAGTGCTTTTGTGGGACATCACAAATCAGTATATGCTTATTAATTTGTCAAATGTGACCCTGGACCACAAAACCAGTCATAAGGGTCAATTTTTCGAAATTAGCCTTCCTAATACGATGTGACATTTAACTCCTTAAAGTGACTTGCAGGAGTATTTTCTTTTTACCTTTGTAATGGCATCATTTTCATCTGTCAAATTCAAAAATTTATGTTTATAATCTTTTTAAAATTTCTATTTAAAACAATATGTAGAATAAAACAAATAAGTTACCAATCATATGAAATTAGTATTAATAAATTAATTTGTACTACAGAGGTGGCAGCAAGTCACTGATTTTATCACTGAATCACTCATTCATTCAATTGATTTGTTCGAATGGCTGAATCATTCAGGAATGAAGCAAGTGACTGTCTTTATGAACTGACGGAAATCTGTTGTAGCGACAGCAACTTTAATCCCTGCAACTATTCAAAAATCTGGAATCTGAGGGTGCAAAAAATCCAAATATTGAGAAAATCGCCTTTAAAGTTGTCCAAATGAAGTTCTTAGCAATGCATATCACTAATCAAAAATTAAGTTTTAATATATTTACAGTAGGAAGTTTACAAAATATCTTCATGTAACATGATCTTTACTTAATATGCTAATGATTTTTGGCATAAAAGAAAAATCTATAATTTTGACCCATACAATGTGTTTTTGGCTATTGCTACAAATATACCCCAGCGACTTAAGACTGGTTTTGTGGTCCAGGGTCACAAATATAATGCACTGCCTATGTATTGACTTTACAGTGCATTTATTCGGGCCCTTTCAATTGTTGCAGGCACATCTGTAAGAAAACGATACAATTTTGTTGTTGTACATTCAGAAAAAAGATGACTTTAATATCATAGCAAGTCAAAAGTTGTTTGTATTTACTATTAATGTTGTCATGGTTTTTATTACAACACAATGTAGCTTTCACCCTTGATGCAGAGTAGTTGGTTAAGAAATTGAAAACTTGCTTGATCTTTTGAAGGAAACCCAATCCTGGCTCCTGAATGGTTTCACTGTGGAATATATATGGTTTTTTCATTGTAATGTTGTTACACTGTGGTTTTATGGGGCCTGCCAGAATAGATGTTGTTTTTGTGATCGACTTTAGGAAATGCTGCAGATCTCTTCAAAACAATGGTTTCATAAAATATACAGGTGGCTGAAATATAGTTTTTAGGGTTTCTTTTACTTTTTCTACAACACTAGAGGGTGTTTTGGACCCCTAACACTTTTGAAGTCAATGTGAATTTTTAAAGTGGTATTAATTTTGCAAAGTAAAGAACTTTTTTTCTTTCTTTTTTTTAGGATTTTTAAGGATTTTTTTTAATTTAGGATTTGACATTTTATAGTCAAATTGAATAAATTTTATGAAAGTGTTAACTTCTCAAAGCCATATGTGAAAGGTTGGATATAGCAGCCTTAGTACAGGTTGTGTTTCAAAGGACAGACATCTCACAACCAGCAATAACACCATGCCTGAAGGGAGCATTTCTTAATGCAATCCAGATATAACCCGAGGTTTTCTCAAGGCTTTCTATCCAGAGGTTTACATGAAATCCTGCTGTATAGGCTAACTCATTGTAAGTTATTGAGGCAATGCAATTTTAGGGAGTTTTGGGTGACTTTTCACAGATGTGTAAACGACTGTAAATGTTTTGTTTGAGTGCTTCAATAAAGGTTGGGTACAACAAGATCACATTGTATTCATCCTTTTTCTTTTAGTTTAGGAAGACATCCATTCCAATACAAGTAATACAACAATAAAAAGTAAGACCTTCATGTTTCATCTTACTTGGTTTTATTTATTAAGACTAATCTGTAAAAAAAAAAAACAACAACCGAGGATTGATGTACGTTTATTTTGATAATGGGATGCTGAAAGTACATACTACGCATGCGCAACATAATTTTAGAAAAATAATATTAGCCTGTAGGTGCTAAACAGAACACTGGCATGTATAAAGTATATATAATCCATTTAAAAAGGGGCAGTGGGATAATTCATTGTTTTCTGAAAATAACCAGACATTTTAGGGTTAATCTCGTTTGGTCCTCCAAGAACCCGGAAACACAACAATCTGACAGCTTGACTTCATTTCGCCGGTTATTGGTAAGAATTTTGGGTTCTTATTTTTTGTCAAATTTGAACGTTTAAAATGTCAGTATATATGTGCATTGATCATAATGCTTTGTTTGCATCAATTTTTTATGTTACTATAAATGGTCAATTAATGAAAAGAATATGGATTTGTACGGTATCTTCACTAAAGATTACGTTAGCTGGAATTCATCTGTCATAAATATCATTGTACATATAGTCATATAATTATTTGCGATGAACACGTATCATGGACTATAAAATTACCTCAAATACTTAAGTACCGTCAGATATGACTGGGTTTCCTGTTGCCAGCTGATTTAACGTTATTTTAAACCCATTACTCTCGAGTACATTTCCATGAAATAGGATGTTCAGACTTCATACAATTTCATGTTTCAGGTGATGAAAAGCTAACATATTACAATTACATATGCATTTTTTTTTGTTACATAAAGATCAAATTAATATGGTCTTTTAAACGTTTTACCTATCATTTATTAATCTTCAAAATGCCGTTTATCTATATAGATTTTCAGTTTTAAAATACGAAAATGTAAAATAAAATATGATTACATTTCATTTTCAAACTACAGTCTAAACATAGAGTGAATTAAGTGTACACCATTTAGGCTATTGTGTAAAAATGCTTTATATTGATCTGTACAAAAATGAGGAGTTCCCCTAAAATGTACCTTAATCTGTAATAAAATGTTAAATATGTAAAATTATGCAAAATATTTTTTTTTGTAATTGTGTGTAATTAGGATACAAAAAAGCTAACTGTAAAATTAGCCTGAGCAAGACAGTAAGATGATGGAAATGACAACAAAGAACTTTTATACTAGCCATCACTGTTAAAAAGGAACTTAAATGAAACCGATAATATAATAATTATTAGATAATAATATCATTCAGGTTATACTGCTATTTTGGTTGAAACTGTAGTTGCCATTATAAGTTTTTGTTAGGGTAGGAGTTCTCTAAAGTCAGAGATGCAGTTGGAGGCCTATTTATAGGAAGAACACTATATAAGGAGTGTGTGCAGAGATTAAGGGACGGCCAGCAAAGTGGTAAAAATATGGAATTAATCAGAAACATAAACTGCCTCCTCAAATAAAATAAGGTTTTAGACACCGCTTTTATCAAGTGCAACCTGTTACAGCTTTCCTGTAGCTGCAGTCTGAAATTGATGACAGTAATATGTTTTTGTCTGATCAGAAAGAGGGTCCTTACATAAAGGCACAATGCCTGACCTTTGGCAGGATGCCATGGACCATGCTGTGACACTGGCCAGGAAAGCAGGAGAGGTGAGATAACATCATTCTTTTTTTTTTCCAATAGCTTTTGTAATTTGTGGTCATTTTTACTAAAATCTTTTTTTATCTCTATTGTTAGATTGTAAAGGATGCTTTGCAGAATGACCTGAAGATCATGTGCAAAAGCTCTTCTGTCGACCTGGTCACTAAAACAGACCAGAATGTGGAGCAACTTATTATTACGTCAGTGAATGAGAAGTTTCCTGAACACAGGTATTTTGTCCTTCATACTAACACAGGGTCAGAAGCGTTTTAAATCTTATACACTCAGTATAATTTCATATGTAGAGCATATTGGATGTGAAGTAAAGAGAATAGACCAGCACTGCTCCGGTTTGTTTCAGTTTCATTGGTGAGGAGTCAGTGGCTGCAGGAGAACCTTGTGTTTTGACTGAAAACCCAACATGGATCGTTGACCCTGTGGATGGGACCACTAACTTTGTGCATGGGTAATTAAAAAAAAAAAAAATAATAATAATAATTCACTGATACACTGGAATACAAATGTCTCAGACCACTAGTGAAATTAAATAAAAGTTAATTTTAAATGAAATTAAACAATTAATTGGAACAAAAAAAAAACAGTTACATTGAGAATAATGTAATATTTTTAATTACAAATTATTTTATCAGCTTGACAATTTTAGTGAAATATAGTTAATTGAGTCAATATTAACTTTATTTTTATAGTTTTTTTTTCCCTAAAACTTTTTATTTTTTAAGTTTACAGTTTATTTTTTAGGTTTAAATTGGAATTTAAACCCTATATTTTTAATGTGGTTTAAATTTTTATGGACTCCTCTGGCATATAATGTGAGGAATGTTAAATGACTTACCCTTAGTGAGACATGGTATAACTGATCAGTTACCTGTTTCATTTTGATATTTTGAGGCTTTTCACTTTTCTAGCATTTCTAGCAATAAATATGATTTTCTTTGTACAGATATCCATTTGTTGCTATATCCATTGGCTTTGCTGTCAACAAAATGGTAAGCATCATTTGCTTTCAGATGCACGCTCTTTAATTTTAGAATAACAAAGTGACAGCACTGGTAATAGATCTTTGCTTGGTGAGATGAAACCGGAAACTGCTGCTCTGCTCCCACTTTGTTTTCTTGCTCATTTATCATGCCTTTGGAAGGTTGGAAGTTCATCCAGTGGGAAGAACATCTGACAGACTCATCATTCTTCTGTTGCAGTTAGAGTTTGGTGTGGTTTATAGCTGCATAGAAGACAAGATGTACACGGCTCAAAAAGGGAAGGGTGCATTTTGCAATGGACAGCCGGTGCAAGTGTCGGACCAAAAAGGTAACCGTTCTTCTGAGTATGTTGATCCAGTTGCATTCCGTGCTTGCTTGTTGGCAATCATTGTAATTCTCTTTAATTGTTAATAATTGTTTCCACATCGTTAACAGAGATTAACCAGTCAATCATCGCTACAGAGTTTGGCTCTAATAGAGACCCTGATGCCGTTGATAAGATTTTCTCTAGCATGAGGAAAATCTTATGCCTGCCAGTTCATGGGTATGTGCCAGGTTGCTTTCACACACAGCCTCACTGGAACAGATTGGCCCTTAAAAGTAATATTATCGAATACTATGTACTCTACCATTATACTGTAATGTGTGTCAACAGATATCTCTTGACTATTAATTCATTTTTCTTTGAAAGGATACGTGGCGTTGGATCTGCTGCCATCAACATGTGCTTGGTAGCATCTGGTTGTGTCGAGGCCTATTATGAGATTGGGATCCACTGTTGGGATGTGGCAGCTGCTGCAGTCATAGTCTCAGAGGCAGGAGGAGTTCTCATGGATGTTGAGGGTAAAGACAGCTCCTTAAGTTGTTACATCATTTTAAGGAGTGTTATTTTAATGTTAGTTTTTATACAGCACTTCACTTTTTGTTATGTTACAGCCTTATTCCAAGATGGATTAAATTCATTATTCCTCAATTCTACAAACAACGTAAAAAAAAAAAAGTTTAAAATCTTTGCAAATGTTAAAAATGTAAAGAAAAATCACATGTACATAAGTATTGTTCAATACATTGTTGAAGCACCTTTTCACCAATTACAGCCTCAAGTTTTTTTGGGTATGATGCGACAAGCTTTGATCATCATCATTTGGCAATTATCTACCATTCTTCTCCTCTTAAAGCCCAGATCGGTGGAGTTTTGCAGTGATGTTTGTCCTTCTCTAGGTTTCTCCCATCTGCATATATGATCATGGCGCTCAACTAGAGTGACCATCAGAATCTTGGTCACCAGTCTAGACAAGGCCATACTCCATCAATTGCTCAGTTTGGCCAGGAGGTCAGCTCTAGGATTCTCATGGATGTTGAGGGTAAAGACAGCTCCTTAAGTTGTTACATCATTTTAAGGAGTGTTATTTTAATGTTAGTTTTTATACAGCACTTCACTTTTTGTTATGTTACAGCCTTATTCCAAGATGGATTAAATTCATTATTCCTCAATTCTACAAACAACGTAAAAAAAAAAAAGTTTAAAATCTTTGCAAATGTTAAAAATGTAAAGAAAAATCACATGTACATAAGTATTGTTCAATACATTGTTGAAGCACCTTTTCACCAATTACAGCCTCAAGTTTTTTTGGGTATGATGCGACAAGCTTTGATCATCATCATTTGGCAATTATCTACCATTCTTCTCCTCTTAAAGCCCAGATCGGTGGAGTTTTGCAGTGATGTTTGTCCTTCTCTAGGTTTCTCCCATCTGCATATATGATCATGGCGCTCAACTAGAGTGACCATCAGAATCTTGGTCACCAGTCTAGACAAGGCCATACTCCATCAATTGCTCAGTTTGGCCAGGAGGTCAGCTCTAGGAAGAGTCCTGGTTGTTTCAAACTTCTTCCATTAAGAGTAACAGAGAATACATGCTTCTGTGAACCTTCCATGCTGCAGACATTTTTCTGTACCCTTCCCCAGATCTGTGATTCAATCCTGTCTAGGAGGTCTACAGATAATTCCTTGGACTTCATGGCTTGGTTTGCGCTCTGACATGCACTGTTAACTGTGGGACCTTATATAGACAGGTGTGTGCCTTTCCAAATCATGTCCAATCAACTGAATTTACTACAGGTGGACTCCAGTCAAGTTGTAGAAACATCTCAAGGATGATCAGTGGAAACCGGATGCACCTGAACTCAATTTTGAGTGTCAAAACTGTGAATACTTATGTACATGTGATTGTTTCATTTTTTTTTTCACGTTGTCATTATGGGGTATTGTTTGTAGAATTTTGAGGAAAATAATTAATTTAATCAATTTTGGAATAAGGCTATAACATAACAAAATGTGGAAAAAGTGAAGCACTGTGAATACTTTCCGTATGCACTGTATATTTGAGTTTTAATATTAGTTTAGGTTTTAGTAATATTATGTGCATCTGTCATTTTTATATATTTTTTCCTATTTAGCTTTCATTAGTTTTTATTTCAGTCATTTTAGTACTTCACTCTAAACTTATTTTGTCAGTTAGTTGCAAAGGCAACATTTATAAGTTTCTTCGTGTAATATTTATATTTTGTTTTATTTCAGATTTATTTCAAATGAAAATTTAACAATTTCAGTTTCAACACTCAAAATTTCTCAAATTTTGTCAGTGGCTTGATTTTCCAAAATATGTATTTGTAAATATGTATTACATACTGGTAAAAAATGTATAGCCTGAATGCACTGTAAGTCGCTTTGGATAAAAGCGTCTGCTAGATGCATAAATTATTATTAATTATTTATTTAAATTATGTATTTTATTTAAGAAATTACTTTGTTTTAATGAATTTGAATATGACTTTTGTGTATTAAATTCTTGCATATCAACTTTTCCAAAAATGTCCTCAGGTGGCCCGATGGATCTGATGTCTAGAAGAGTTTTGGCAGCTAATAACAACATCATTGGAGAAAGAATCGTTAAAGAGATTGAGGTTTTTTCAGCTGTAAGAGACGATGCACCTGTAAACCCTATCAAATAAACCTGGTTTTGAATACAAGCTTCTGTGCTATTGAAGTATGGTACATTAGTACATTTGAAATAATGCATCAATGTTTAATCTTTATGTTGTGTAAATGATTTCTGTCTCACGATGTTGTTGAAAAATGCATTATAGTTATGTTTAAAGCTATGTGCAAACGGTAAATTACAAATGATATTTTCCCACGTTGAGCTACTTAAAATCAATGTTCATTGTCATTAAAATGTATTTAAAGAATTTTACTAGTAATGTTGTATATTTTATACACGAGTTCAATAAACAAGGAGTTAATAATCAATAACTTGCCTATGAGACATTATTTGTCTATTTTTGCTCTGCCTCAGAAAATAGTTTCAAATGATGGCAACTTTTTTCAATAGAAAGTAACCGAAGCCTGCTCGGTACTTATAAATAAATTTATTTAATTAGCATATTTATGGTATCATTACGTTACGTAACACCATAGTGTCGACGTTAGTTTGCTTCTCTCTTTTGCTCACATATACTTCTATATTTTAATACAGGGCTGTCAAACTCAGTTCCTGGAGGGCCGTAGCCCTGCAGATACCCATCTAGTTTTCAAATAAGCCTGAAGGACCTGGGGCCAGTTGCATAAACTGTTTAGACTAGTCTTAAAAAGTTAGTCATCTAATTTTTTTCTTCAAGACTGGTCATGACTTTTAAAATTCAGTTATGAAAAGGTAGATTGGTCTTCATTTTATTGGAAACGTAAGACTGATTATCCCTTGGCAACTGCTAGTTGGTCAAACTAGTTCTTAAGACACCGTCTAAGTCCCAATGTGCATAGGCCTACTATCCATCCAAAATTCTGTGTGATATTAGTAATTTTCAATACTATTCAGGGCAGATAAGCTGGATAGTATGCACATAGGGACGCAGGGACAGTATGGTGGCTAAGTTTATGCAACTGGCTCCTGATTACCTGGATCAGGTGTGTTTAGAGTTGAAACTAAACTCTGCAGGGCTGTGGCACTCCAGGAACGGAGTTTGGCACCCCTGTTTTAATGCAACCAAATTCCCAATTAACCAGCTGTTCCTTCCAAGCTGCTCTGAACTAAAATCCTAAATTATAATTCTGTAAGTGTGACAAAATCACCATACAAATTGGATAAAGACAAATGGCGTGATTAAGACATGTGAAATTATCACTTGGTTTATAAAACATGCTCGTATGGCAGTACAGATGAGTCTCTGAAACCAGATACGGTTTGTCCAGACCAAGAAGTTGATTTTTGGGAAAAAGTCGCTATTTGCAGCACTAAATTCCGTAATCAGTAAATGAATCAATGACTCGTTTATAATACACCTCCCACCTATACTGGCATAACGATTCAACCTGCACAAAGAGCCTAAGTATGGCTGTCTGGAACGCCTTGCGGAGATATCAAAAAAGTGAACAGTCCTAATGGCAGCTCTCTTGGAACACAAAACAAAAGCACAAATACTGCAGGCGGCTGAAAATACACACATACATACACACAAATTGGCAGGTGTTAATTGCCATACTATTTTGTAAACAGAACAAAATTAGACTGTGAGAAAATAAATGTTTTATATTCAGTTATTCACACAGTAAAATAACCATATCAGCAACACATAACCCCTCTCTCACACACACACACACACACACACACAGAGACAGGTGTTAATTGCCATGCTAGTTTGTAAACAGAAAAAATGAGACCGTGAGAAAATAAATGTTTTATATTCACAGTTATTCACACAGTAAAATAACCATATCAGCAACACATAACCTCTCACACCTCTTATGGATCATGCTAATAATACCCATTTTATAAGGGACAAAAGTGCAAACTTGTGCCCAGTATAATGCATATACTGTATAAAGCTGATTTAATACACCATTAATATAAAACAGTTAGAGCGAGTACAAGTAGATCCTCACTGCCAACAATTAGAGAACTTGAGTAGTTTTGAAAGCCACAAGCCTTAACTGAAGAAAGCTTATGTGTTGTAAATATACTAAGTATGATACAGAAACTTCAGTGCTCATATTGTAAGAATGGATAAAATTCCCGCATCATTGCTGGTTGCTCTGCTCATTCTTAAGCATAATTTCCCTCTGGCATTACATTAAAATTGTGTAGAGGTAAGAAAGATGTTCTGTTTTCATAATAATGTATCGAAAAACAATTTGTCTGAATCCAGAGTTGTCACTATGTTAATGTTAACAATGACAGCAGAGTTGCATATTAAGTCCATGTGCTCTGATATGCTCTTCAATCAGTCAGCAGCAGTAGTTGCTGGGAGTCCTCAGGAACAGCCCGGCTTAAAATGGAGAACCATGGAGCTCCAGCCGCAGGAGGAGAAGAGGGGGATGGTGTGGGAGGAGCAGCTGCCGTCAATCCATGAGCTGTACCGCTGGTCAGGCTAACCTTCTGTTTTAGGATCTGAGAGGATAATAATAATAATAATAATAATAATAATAATAATAAAAAAATAATTTTTATTTATATAGCACCTTTTGCTTCGCTTTACAACATCAGGTTTAAGGAACAAACCCAAATAAACATCTACATGAAAGCACAGTACACATACCAAGAGCTGCGTCACAGCAAAGGGTCTGAATACTTAGGACCATGTGATATTTCAGTTTTTCTTTTTTAATAAATCTGCAAAAATGTCAACAATTCTGTGTTTTTCTGTCAATATGGGGTGCTGTGTGTACATTAATGAGGAAAAAAAAAAATAACTTGATTAATGAATAATGATTTTAGCAAATGGCTGCAATATAACAAAGAGTGAAAAATTTAAGGGGGTCTGAATACTTTCCGTACCCACTGTATAGGGTGCTTACAAAGTTAGGTTAGAGATACAGAGAGGATTTAGATAACCATGTACATAAGGTACAATTTACAGACCGACAACTGAAGTTATATTCAAAGAAAAATGTGTTTTTAAGAAGTTTTTAAAGGAGAGAAGGGAGGATACAACACTTTATTTGAGAAAGTTGAGACACTTTATTTGAGACTTAATCGTCATACACATAATTTCAATGTCACAGTGTTAACCTATATGCATTGTATGTATGACTGAATTGATTTTAAAAGAAATACTGCTAGGTAGAATATTTAAAATATTAATAAATATGGTTAACCACCACCCCCCAAATTATTGTGTAGACCGCTCTATAAAACTTACATTTACACAAAACACAAGATATGGTTTATGTTCGGATTGAAATCACTTTTATCATCTCAAATAACATGATTTGACAGTTTAACAATACAGTGCTCAAATGATGCTTTACTTTTACAGACTAACCTGCCGAAGTCTGTCCTCGTACCGTTGATCTGGTTCTAAAGGTTGCTTGTCTGGGACTGGCACTTTCCAGCGGTCCATTTCTGCCCTCAACTCTACACCATCTAGCAGTACCACAGGGTCTAGTGCGTTGTTGTTTATTAGCTCCACCAGACACTCTTTATAATGTACCCTAAAAGTGAGCATAACATCTCTTGAGTTTGTAGTACTTATGGAAGAACATAATTCAGTGAATGATTAAGAATAAGCATTCCTTACGTGCAGTAACCACTGTAATCTGGGAGAGCTGGTCGTCCACATGGCTCCTCCTTCACAGCTCCTGATTCTTGGAACTCCATTACACCACAAATACCTACAAGGGACACATAAACATGTACTGTATTTCAACTGTACTGTGACACATCTAAACTAGTGATGCACCAAAATTATTTTTGTTACTGAAACACCAAAACTGAACACAATCAAAAACGCCGTCGGAGAAACGCTAATTAAATCTATTTCAGCCGAACCAAAAAATTTTCAGCTGCCAACATTTTGGTGCATCATTGATCTGAACATACAATATTCACATGTCAAAACAAAAGATGTACCTTTAGAGTGTCTCCCCGCTGTATTTTTGGGGCTGAACATGAGGGGATGTGATACCCCATAGTGCTGAAAACATAAATAAAAGTAGTTTAGCCAGTTTAACGGTGGCAGGGTATAATGGTGGCTTCCTGTTTATGCTAGACCACAGTAAAGACGTCTGTCACCTGCAGCACGGTCCGTAGTCTCGGGACATTCCAGTCTCTCAGATGATATAGGCAGTTTCGAGGGTGATGAGCGTGTAACCCCTTAGCTCCGCACTCGGTAGAAAAACTACAGGCCTGCAAGGACAACATATGCTCATTAATGATACAGAGCTCTGTGGTAACTATAATGACGACTGCTGAGAGAACTAAACTTACAGAGCCTTGTTTAAATGGATGACTGCAGCCTCCGCAGAATTCATGCTGGCACTGAGTGCATTTGAAATGCAAACAGCCTCCTCTGGCCAGGAAGAAGCGAAATTTGCATTTTGGACAGTCTGAAAGGAGCAAGGAGAACGTTACAACCTGGGAAAGTTCCAAAAAGACACTTTGAACCAAGAACCTTCAGTGAGAGTTTTGGTTTGACCTATTTTGTTCCTGCTGAGAAGCTGCTCCAGCCTTGAGTTTTGGTACTCGGGGCTGTTGAGTTGCTCCCACTCTTTGAACTTCTCGCATGAGATTCCTTCATGCTGTGGAGCCCACTAGACAACAAACACCCAGATCAACAATCTGAGATTCCATCAATATGAGATTACAAGCACCAGCACAATGCAGGGGTTCAACAGTAAGGATTGTTTAGTTCAGGTGTTTACTTGTCTGGCCAAGATTTTCAAAGACCCAAATTCTACATTTTATTTCTAGAATGTCTGTTTAATATGTCCCAGAAACTATAACATTTATATAAAAATGTTATAGATTTTAGTAACATGTATTTATATATGCACCGCCATTCAAAAGCACAGTAATATTGGGAAACTTTTTTTAAAAACATTTTTAAAAGAACAAGGCTGCATTTATTTAATCAAAAACACAATAAGAATAGTAATATTGTAAAATACTATTACAATCAAGAAACATTTCTTATTATTCTCAAAGTTGAAAACAGTAAATAAATGTCTTTACTATCACTTTTAATCAAAAGTTTACGTATTGGCCTCAAACTTTTGAACGGTAGTGTAAATATTGGTTTTCATTAATTGCTAAGTTAATATTTATACATAATATTGAGTTTTCAATACCTGCAAAGTATATAGCTTACATCACAGAACTTTATATGACATAAAAACATCACACTTATGTTGTAAGACTAAGGCATATGATGTAGATTGTAAAGGCAAAACCTACCGGCCTTTTACACTGAAAGCATGTGCTTTTCCCACAGCTGGGGCA